TGAAAGTACACACATACACACACACACACACACACAGAGTTAAATACCAAACAGTGCTGAACTACTGCTCTATCTAATCTAGAGTTCTCTGTTAGTGATTTCCAACGAAAACATATTCACCAATTATATACTTCCTGCATAACATTTAGTGCAGTCCTAAGTAAGGAGCTAAAAGAACTTTACAATTTCAGCACCTTGGACAAGTACAAAACATAAGGAAAGCTATATGCCAGGTACACACAATTACAAGATTTTCAAAAAAGCAAATGAAAAGCATCTGTTTTGCTATTTCACCTATGATCTTGTGTGTAGTATCATAATGGCTGTTAAAAACCACACAAAGACACCCCCCCCATATCTGGTATACAACTTATTAACAATGGGCCAATTTACATGACCAAACAAGCATGTTAAACATGATGGTACAATTCACCTAGGCTAAGCTGCATTTGTTGCACAAATTCTTATGTTTGTACCATTAACAATCACCTGCAGTTAAAAAAAAACTTTTTAAAACTACAGTGGTACCTCTACTTACGAATTTAATCCGTTCCGTGACTCTGATTGCAAGTCGATTTGTTCGCAAGTTGAAGTAAATTTTCCCATAAGGATCAATGTAATTACCGTTAATCCATTCCGGCGTCCGCGGACCACGCGTCAGGGGTGGAAAAACGGCCGCTGACCACGCGTCAGGGGCGGAAAAATGGCCGCTGACAACGTGGAACAGGAGGAAAAATGGGCGCGGACCACGTGGAACGGGAGGAAAATGGCCGCGGACCACGTGGAACGGGCGGAAAATGGCCGCGGACCACGTGGCACGGGCGGAAAAATGGCCGCAGACCACGTGAAACGGGCGTAAAATGGCCGCAGACCACGTGGCACGGGCAGAAAAACAGCTCGTAAGTCGAGGCAAGTTTGTAAGTAGAGGTAAATTTTTGGGGCTGGAGCTGATCGTATCTCGAAATTTTCATAAGTAGGGGCGTTCATAAGTAGAGGTACCACTGTACCTGATTAAACATAAAGGATCCATTGTCTAAGAGGCCACTAATTTTATTACTAATATATTCATTATTATTATTATTGCTACACTATTTTCAGCCATTCCATCCATGATGCTGAGAACTCACACTAACAAAATGTAAAGGGCTGTATAAAATAAATAAGCCTACAAAAGATCAAATCAAGCAGCTAAAAGAGGAGAGGAATACAATTAATCTAACCTGGAGCTTTTTTTTTTTTTAAATGTTTGGGTATCACCATTGCCATACAGTACAAACTTTCATTCACTGTTATTCTACCCATTATTTCAATATTTCCTTTGCCTCCAATTTGTATATAAACCAAGAAGTGAAGCATGCTCTTTCCTGACTAAGAATAATAAGAATTGTTGTTGCAGCCTCTATAAATATACTCTGATTCTAGAGACCACCCAGAGAATTACTACAACCACTCCCTGTATCAGCAGGATATTTTCTCTTCTTACCCACCCATATGAATTATGGGACCCTTATAAAGCATCAGAGAGTTATACAAACTAGGGCACCCACCAGTCAGCCTCTACCATCTTCTTGTTCACCATCCGCCTCTTCTGCAAATACAACTGTTGCAGTGTAAGAGTGCCACTTACGCTGCAGTAATAATGAACTGATCCCACAAGTTAATTACAACCCTTTGCACACCTGTGATCAGGACTGGCTCATCAATACCAATAGATTACTAATATATTCACTTATTATTATTGCTATACTATTTTCAGCCATTCCATCCATGATGCTGAGAACTCACACTAACAAAATGTAAAGGGCTGTACAAAAATTACAGTTTAATAAGAGTAGCATCAGAATTCCCCTTATATTTTCTTCTCCAGATCTTGATCTTCCAATCTAATCCTGGCCTCTTTGACCTTTGATCTACTTCTTCCAATCACAGCTTGGGTGCAGCTTCCCTTTTTAGCAGATAGAATCATTATGAAATATGCAATCAAGGCAGTGCTATCCTTCATTAAAAATTTAGATGATTGACTTACCTGGGGTTTCCACCCTTCGATAATGGTAAGGATTAATGCAGACTTCTTTCTGCTTTGAGCCAAATGGAAATTCACAGCATTCCAGGGGTTTTAACTCATGATGAGACTGTAGATCAGGCCACCGCCACACTCTGCAGTAAATGACATGTGGCAAACCTTTGCGATGAGATACTTGCAGCCTTCCATCCAAAGAGCGTGGGATCGTCACACACTTACTGGGCTGCCCAGGACAGCTGAGTGCCCTTTCCAGTTCTTCCATGGCACCCTTTTTTTTCTTCAGCTTCTTTACCAAGGAGTCAACAGCCTTTTCTGCCCATTTTTCCTCTTCATCTCCTTGCTTCCAGCCCAACAGCCTCTTTACAGCTGGGCTGGTGAAGGAGAACAGAGAACTTATAGGGGTGCTGGAGTGCATAAGAATCTGAGGTTACCAGTATAACTTCAGTTATTCAATTTCTTTTTCTTAAATGAAGAGTCACAGTACTAGAAGAGATGCTCCTTCAAAAATCAGACTTTTCCACACATACTTGGGGATTTTGCTGGATATATTTAATGTTTGTGTCTTCCAACAGAGAACAATTCTACAACAGAAGAAAATTTTTGTCATACTTCTGTTTGCCTTCTTTTCTGACAGATTTTCAAACACCAAGAGTAAGATTACAGTTGCTGCAAAACATTATATATGTGTCCATTATATAATTACAATAAATTATAACTCTGCATCTTCTCACAAAATATATTTTTTAAAAAGCTAGGAAATACTTGTCAATAAAGTTGGAAAATTCCTTTTTTCTGAGATATTCCTTATCCAGGAAGTGATAAATAAAATAAAGAATACCTAGCAAAATTTTCTGTAAATACTATTTTCCAATTTTTGTAACAACCACCATTCTCCACATGCTGGATATGAGACTTTGTGGGGGATGCCTAATGTTTGCCAGAATGCCAGCACAATTGTACTGTTGTGACTAACAGCAAAATAAATAAGTCCATTGGAGTCCACTGGAATGGATGGCTATATTAAATCTAATAATAAAATTTCAAAAAATCAAAACACAAAGAAGAAAAGCAGGAAGAAAGAAAGAACTGAGAACTTATTAGAAAACTAAATCCTTCTGATTTCTTTGCCCACAAAGTGGATTTACAGTATATTTGCACACAGCTCTAGAAGTCTGAAAACTAATTTTCTCTAAGCTTCTTTCAACAGCACAGTTATGAATAAGTTCAAATCAATTAAATGAAAGTAAATTGGAAATAAAAGGGGGGAAAGCTATAATGCCACCAATCAAGTTGCGTAAATGAGAAAGCACCAAAGCTATATCTATAAAGGCATGAACCCGACAAAAAGGAGACCTAATAGAACAACCTTCCACAATGTGGATACCTGCCAAATGTATGGATTTCAGCACTCAGAATTCTCAACGGTCGCTATAATGGATGATAATGAATTCCATACATTTGGAGGGTACCCAGGTTGGTAGAGTCTCTTGTAGAATCTACAGTGGAAGTCCAAGTGCAAGTCCACCCATTTCTGTGACAACACAGTACAGGAATTTGCCCTCCACACAAACACGAAATATTGTGTATGTGATTCCATAGCAGTGGAATCTATGATCAATATGATCAAGTACCAAATATCAATGCATTATGCTGTAATTGTGGAAGAAGCAGGAAAAATTTGAAAGGTCACGAGGTATTTATCATTTGCATTTATGGGAGAACAGATCAAATATAATAAAACTGTTTTTTTTACAATGCTAACAAGGTATATGTAAAATCTTGCCGTTGTCGGAAAAGTGAGAGATTACAATCCCATTCTTCTTTCTCAAGTGGAAAGAATATTTATATTGGGGCATATGGGGTACAACTCCATATGCCCCAATGTAAATCAATGTAAATTAAACCATATGTGTGTTTTTTCAGGATTGTACTGCAACTACAGAGGCTCAGCCATGTGAACCCAGGAAAAAACACAGTTTAAGGAAAGGCTGACTGTTCATACTTCAGGCTCCAGAGGCAGAAATAAAAGGGTTGAAATAAAGAAAAATTGGGTGAATCACAGTTTTTTGCTTACAAATGCCTATCCCCGGACAACATGCACACCATGGAAAATGTATTCTACTTTTACCCCAAATAAACCCACTGCATTCTAGAAGTTCTGCAGAGCTTCTCTCTGAATCAGCTACAGTTCAGCCCAAACGAAAGCCCACATTAATCCCAGAGTGATATTATGGGGTGAATCTGGCAAGACTGGTGTCAATTGCTCCCTCTTCCCTTTCTCAGGAACAAGGATACCCAATGCTGCTATTGCTTCCTTTATAAGCATGTATACTTATTTCTGGATGGTCTCAGCAGCTCCCAGCACAGTACGTCCCACTGGCCTGCAGGTCTCCAGATCTTCCTAAGGCCTTCCCTCCCCTCCCCTCCCCTCCCCTCCTCCCCTCAGTTGTCATCACTAAGGAAATCCCTCAGCATTTAATTTTTCCTGCTCTCCCCCCCCCAAAAAAAACTTTTATGCATAGATAATTAATGTGCTTCTGGACCAAAACAGCCTTGTTTTGTTCCTATGCAGACCAAACATACATGTTTCTATTTGGGCATGAACCACCCAGAACCAGTTGTTCTATGCAGAGAGCAGATCATGTCTGAATTATTTTGCACACCCCTACCTTCCCTTCCTCCATCCCAGGTTAAGAGTAAATCTGAGGAAAAAAATGCAAAAATGATTTTACAGCTTTGGAAATATATTCAACAGGAAGAGTTTGAATACTGCTAAATAGGAAACAAATGTAATTCACTGCTGTATAGAATCTGTAACCTGTAACAATAAAGACACAAAAGAGTCTGGGATAAAAGACGCAATTAGAAGAAATAACACAGGGAAAATTGATTGTAGAATGTTTCATGTATTGAAAGAGTGAGCCAAAAATTATAGCATCAATGAAAAAAGACATAGATTAGTTCTTAGATTTCTTCTCTATACGAAGCAACACAATGATTTAACATTTTATACTAAGCTTCCTGATAAAATAATGTAACTTCTTAGGCAATCACCACGTTTCTATTTAAGAGTACTGTCCTGAAGCTTCATCTTTCTGCTTCCCATTTTCAACAAGTTTTAAAATTTAGATTAAAAAAAAAAAACTTTTCAGATCCAGTCAATAAGGCAGGTGTGACATCTGTATAATCTGTAATATTGTTACTTACAATAGGAGATATAGGAAACAAACATAACATACAGACATTAATGCAAACATAGCTAAATATATCAGAAATATATTATATACTGCTGGAATTGAAGATAAGTACATTTCTACATTTATCTTTAAAAAGGAAGAAAAGAGATATTTTAAAAATCCAAGTAATATTTAAAATGGATGCACACAGGGCTTCAGATGTTTTTAGACTGCAAGTCCAATCATTAGGAGTTGTACTTTTATTGCTTCTATTATTTATTATTATTATTATTATTATTATTATTATTCTGTACATTATGCATTGTTTTGACATCATCATCATCATCATCTCCTCAGCAGTGACGTGGTGGATTGCATCTTGCCTATCTCTAATCTAAAGCATAACCAGAATTAAAAGCCTCTCAGAAATGTCAAAACTAATTTCCTGGAGAAAGATCTCTGGAACTAAAAGATACCAGTATAAGAGTCAGCTCTATGCATTGCTGATTTTGATCTGACATTCCCAGATACAAATCTGTTTTTGGCCCTGAAATAAACTGAAAGGGAAAAACAGGAGTCTCTCTCTTTCTTTCTCAGCTTTACAGTAGACTTCCACATCCTAGAACCTGGCAACTGGTATTTGGAAGGATCGATAATGAAGCTCAAGCTCAGATATTTTGGTC